ATGCTACACTCGTGTGTTTTTTTTATATTTATATTGCATATTAAAAAACGAGTTAACGTAGCCGCTAGACTATTGAAACCTGTCAACCTCACGATCTGAATATTTCACCGTGAAAGTGACATGGAATAGCGTTTGCAAAAAAACATTTCTTGTATAAAACATAACGTCAGTGCTTTTTGTGTATCATCTGCCGAAATGAGAGACCAAATGGCGAGTGTAAAAACTCTTGTGAGATTTGCAGATCCAAAACTGGAGGGGTTTTTCATCAATGCAAATTGTGCCAGTTTGTTGCCATTCAACAGCCTTACAAAAACTTCGTCCATCTTGCTCATGGTCATGGCTCAGGTACATGTAGCGGGTACGATGTTTTTTTTCTCTCGCTGGTATCTTTACTAGTAAACCTTTCATAGTTCATACAAACGTCAAGCTTGCATAATCCTTTCTAAATAAACCAAGGTTAAACAGGCAAAATAGAATAACTGCCTACAGCGTCGGAGATGAAAAAACGCGCAGCTTGTAATGAAATGAAAACAAAGGCATTACATGGCAAATGTGTGCATGCAAAAAACAACAGTTGAATTTGAAAAATAACTAATTATGTACATTTAGGTTACTCTGCGTCACAGACGGATGGGTACTGAAGATGACACGAGAACATATTTTCATTTAATTTTACCATAATTTCATCGTAGAATATTCAACTCGTTTTTTTTATTATGGTGGAATATATAAACTCGGCACTAGGAAAATGTCTGATTTTTGTTTTTAATTCAGACCTTGCGACCTTCATTAATTATTTTCTAACATTTTCTCAGCCTCGTTATAATAATATTCTATGTAACTTAAAATGTTTTCGGATATAATAAGAATGGTTTCGACGAATAAATCTGAATTCTGAATGCTATGAATAATTAATATTAATGAGGAAAGTTTCTTAATGAAGTCTATATAAAAAACACTTCTAACAGAATCATGTTGTGAAAATAAAACCAAGTGGAGTTGCTTGATTTGGGTAGTCCGCCTGCTTGTGTAACGAGCTGTCGGGTTATTTGTGTAAATCGAGCAGGCATTGATCCTGAGTGGCTATTAAGGTTTATTTTGTTGCTTATAATAATATACAACATTTATATAGCGCCCTATATAATTTGTAAAATTACTCTACGGCGCTTTACAACACATAAATGATAGAATTTTAACAGTGACAGTTATATTTATAGTAGATAAAAGGTATACAAATCAGCATTATACATTAAGTAAGTTTTCAAATACTGTATATAAATAGTATGCATATATATAAAAGGTGATGTGTACATGACGTCTGTGCAAAGAGCCTAAAATGCAGACGTGAAGAGTTTTTTTTTATATCCTTCGTGAAGTTAGCCAGGGTTTTTTACTTCCTGATAGCAAATGGTAAGCTATTCCCAAAGCACCGGTTTCCATAGGTCACAGTACGAGATTTTGGGACACAAAACAATGATTCTGTCTCCGATCGCAGTGATCGCCACAGCTGATACAAGGTGACAAGCCCCTTTAAATGCTGTGGAGCTGTTCCATCCAGATTCTTGTACATGTATGTGTATACCATTTCTTTTACCAAGGCCTGTACCGTACAGGTAACCAGTACAATGCATATAGCATATACCATTGGCAGATTGTTTTTTATATGGTGGCAAATTTACCATCACTTTTTTCGAGTTTATATTCTCTTTGCCGTCATCGTCAGCTTAACAAATGTATTTGGCAACCAAACTACTCAAAGCCCGAAAGAAAGGTAAAACATACATACAAACGAAAAAGTAGACAAATATAGATACTGTCATGACCGACAATGATAAGATATGACATTGTGTCAGTACAGTCTGGGTTAACAATGGTCAGATATGACAGTGTATCAGTAATGTCAGGTTAAACAATAGTCAGATATGACAGTATGTCAGTAAAGTCAGGTTAAACAACGGTCAGATATGACAGTGTATCAGCAAAGTCAGGTTAAACAATAGTCAGATATGACAGTATGTCAGTAATGTCAGGTTAAACAACGGTCAGATATGACAGTGTGTCAGTAATGTCAGGTTAAACAATGGTCAGATATGACAGCGTGTCAGTAATGCCAGGTTAAACAACGGTCAGATATGACAGTGTGTCAGTAATGTCAGGTTAAACAATAGTCAGATATGACAGTGTATCATTAAAATCAGTGTTGACAGTGGTCAGATATGACAGTGTGTCAGAAATGTCAGGTTAAACAACGGTCAGATATGACAGTGTGACAGTAATGTCAGGTTAAACAATAGTCAGATATGACAGTGTGACAGTAATGTCAGGGTAAACAACAGTCAGATATGACAGTGTATCATTAAAATCAGGATTGACAGTTGCCAGATATGACAGTGTGACAGTAAAGTCAGGTTAAACAACAGTCAGATATGACAGTGTGACAGTAATGTCAGGGTAAACAACAGTCAGATATGACAGTGTGTCAGTAATATCAGTGTTGACAGTGGTCAGATATGACAGTGTGTCAGAAATGTCAGGTTAAACAACGGTCAGATATGACAGTGTGACAGTGATGTCAGGTTAAACAATAGTCAGATATGACAGTGTGACAGTAATGTCAGGGTAAACAACAGTCAGATATGACAGTGTATCAGTAATGTCAGGGTAAACAACAGTCAGATATGACAGTGTGACAGTAATGTCAGGGTAAACAACAGTCAGATATGACAGTGTGACAGTAATGTCAGGGTAAACAACAGTCAGATATGACAGTGTGACAGTAATGTCAGGGTAAACAACAGTCAGATATGACAGTGTGACAGTAATGTCAGGGTAAACAACAGTCAGATATGACAGTGTGACAGTAATGTCAGGGTAAACAACAGTCAGATATGACAGTGTGACAGTAATGTCAGGGTAAACAACAGTCAGATATGACAGTGTGACAGTAATGTCAGGGTAAACAACAGTCAGATATGACAGTGTGACAGTAATGTCAGGGTAAACAACAGTCAGATATGACAGTGTGACAGTAATGTCAGGGTAAACAACAGTCAGATATGACAGTGTGACAGTAATGTCAGGGTAAACAACAGTCAGATATGACAGTGTGACAGTAATGTCAGGGTAAACAACAGTCAGATATGACAGTGTGACAGTAATGTCAGGGTAAACAACAGTCAGATATGACAGTGTGACAGTAATGTCAGGGTAAACAACAGTCAGATATGACAGTGTGACAGTAATGTCAGGGTAAACAACAGTCAGATATGACAGTGTGACAGTAATGTCAGGGTAAACAACAGTCAGATATGACAGTGTGACAGTAATGTCAGGGTAAACAACAGTCAGATATGACAGTGTGACAGTAATGTCAGGGTAAACAACAGTCAGATATGACAGTGTGACAGTAATGTCAGGGTAAACAATAGTCAGATATGACAGTGTGACAGTAAAGTCAGGGTTGACAGTTGCCAGATATGACAGTGTGACAGTAAAGTCAGGATAAACAATGGTCAGATATGACAGTGTGTCAGTACAGTCTGGGTTAACAATGGCCAGATATGACAGAGTGTCAGTAAAGTCAGGGTAAACAATGGTCAGGTATGACAGTGTGTCAGTACTGTCTGGGTTAACAATGGTCAGATATGACAGTGTGTCAGTAAAGTCAGGGTTAACAATGGTCAGATATGACAATTTGTCAGTTAAATCAGGGTTGACAATGGTCAGATATGACAGTGTGTCTAAAAGGTTAGGGTAAACAGTGGTCAAATATGACAGTGTGTCTATACAATCAGGGTTAACAATAGTCAAATAGGATTTCAATGTTCAGTTATGATAGTTGTCAGTAAAGTCAGGGTAGCAATGGTCAGATAGTATAGTCTGCGTGTCCGTGATTTTAAGGTTTAACTTTTACATTGGTCAGTTATGACAGTGGTCAGTAAAGTCAGAGTTAACCAGTAAAGTTAAAGTAAAGTTAACTATAAAGCAAATGCTTCGTATCTGGATTTGCTATTTCCGAAGTTTGTTTTATCAGAGACCTAAAGTAAAGGGACCGCCGACTCCCAGTGGCGGGGAAAAATGTTACCGATTTCGCAGTGCCCTCACCGGGGGTCATACAATATCAAGGCCGATAACTCGTACCGTCTATTCGCCATTGGTAAACACTCGAGTGCTGTCGATAGAAATTTTGCTAAGCATCGATTTCACACAACATGAATTAAACGAACTGTTTGAGGTATGTGTGTTATTCTAATATTATATTCCCACATCTGAAATGGAAAAAAAGCAATACCTAAAGCATTAATCGTGGTCAATAACATAATGTTCACGAAGCAGCCGAGTCGGATTTTTTCAGTTTTTAGTCTGGTGATAACCTCTTGTGAGAACATTCGCCTATTTTGTATGTCAATACTTGTCCACAATATATTTGTAATCAATGTGCCTTGTATGTATACTATGCTATGCAGTGAGCTGCACCCACATGTACGAGCTGACAAGTACACATGCCGTGATGATGATGGTTCCGTTGTTGACTCACTCTCTGGTTCCGGCCCGGGTCCTGGACAGCAATATAAATATCCTAAACCTTCTTGGACACGTCCCGTGTATACTTTAGACCATGTTGCTTTATGTTTTCAAAATTAATCATAAGAATAAGAAAGCAGATATTAATAATCAGATTATTGTTTTTATAACTTCTTTATTATTTAGTGCGACATACTTTTATCGAAGCATGTGAACAAATCCCTGTACACGTGTACAGTACAGCTACGCTTTGTAGGTAAGACACTATTTTTGATGAAATTTATGAATTGTTTTACCCTCCAACTGGCAATAGTAATTATATCAAGTGCTTAAACACCAACAAATAATGCCGAAATACCAAATATGTGGTCTGTTTTCAATTATCTATTCTTAGACACCGGATTCCGATATTGCTACCTGTATAAAAATACCTGAGGACGCGTCATAACAGTGCACGGTTGGATGCGCGCACTAGCGTAACATAGCTTTGGGGAAATAGGCATAGCAACCCGCCATATCTCTTTAACACTGGGCAAAAAGAGGATTGTATCATCACTTTTGTGAGGGCTTGTTTACTGCCGAGCGAACGTTTCAGTATTGCTAAAAGGTTCTTATTCAGTGACATTATTTAAATATTATAAATTTATTCAATATTAAAAGAAAAAAACAATCATTGTATTTTATTTTTATAATCCTAAGTTATTCATCAACAATTAAACAAATCATATTTTGATATTAAACCTAGACTTTTTCAATCATGTAATAGAAGGCAACTTGGCTCAAAATGGGCCGAACAAATGTGCATGCTGTCAGGGTTAAACCCCGAATCACACCGATTTACGGCTGCTATCAATGTTGACCGCCATTCCGCATCTTTGGGAAAGCCAAAGTAAAATATTGTTTTACCCCTGGAGCAAACCGGAAGTTGCTTCCTATACCACCCGGTGGGGGCGCTGCGAACATCGGGAAGCTCCTTGGTTGATTATAGAGCGTGACGTCATGGAGTCGGCGGTCCCGTTAATTTAGGTCTATGGTTTTATAGTTTAGTGTATGTATGGTAAAATCAAGAGAAACCCGCATGTATACACAAACTTGGAAATTCCTGTCCTAAAAATAGAACAGACGCCTAACAAGAAATCGCGTTCCGTTTTTGGCAGAGCTCTATGGTAAGATTGGCCTAAAACATTTCTGATACGTTGTTTTATGAAAATTCCTCTTTGAACTGTTCTAATATCAAACCTTCATGGTGTCATGTGTTTGGATGTTAACCGGATACGTTAAGCTTATCTTCGCTTTATCAACATATCTGATATCAAGGCCATGGCCATGGGTAACGTACCCACTCCTACGCACAGGGACCTGGGAATATTTTACAGCTAAATGTGGACCTATAAAAAGGTGTTCAGAGTAATTTTACATGCCTTAGGGGTTAAGATCGACTTTTGGTAAAAATGACAGCCTCAACTAAGCCACTAAAACATGTAAATTTACTCTGAACACCGTAGTTTAGAACAAATTCTCAGGTCCCTGTGCTCCTACGAGGCAACCATTAAAAAAAATGTCTAGTTTGTTTACAATTCGTTAATATAGCACCTGTTCCTGTTCACAGGAACTGGGAATTTGTAACAGCTTTATATTCAGGACCTAAACTAAGGTGGTGAGAGAAATTTAACACATTTTATTGGTTAAGATCAGCTTTTGATAAAAATGCCACCTCAATTATCAGGTCCCTTTGTTTATATTGCCATTGATTGCAGTGTAATCCTTTGGTCAGAAAAGTGTAGGTCAACTTTCGGTAAAAATGCCCCCCCCCCCCCCCCCCCCCCCCCCCNTCCTATTGCCATTGATTACAATGTAACCCTTGGGTCGGAAAAATAAAAGTGAGACTTTGGATTACACTTGTATAAGGGGTAATGTGCATGTGGTGTATTGTTTTACAAAGAGAATGAACTTGTGGCATCAGTTGGACTGTTGATTGTTAATCAGGCCATCCTAAGTGCATGGGGATTGGGAACATTGAATAAGATAAATGTAATCTGTGTTTGTATATATACATATGTATGTATGTACGTGTAACAGGAGAAAGAAAATTCTTGGTCAGACTGGGTTTTGAACCTGGGACCCTCTGAACACTAGACGGAGGTGCAGTCTAGTTCAGGTACATTACTCCCTCCTTTTTTTTTATTGACAAGCATTCACTCAGTGCAGAAACAATTTTGTAATAGGAGTAGGAAAATGCACAGCCAGACCCGGATTTGAACCCAGGACCCTTTTTTTGACCCTTTTAGACCCTGTCTACATCTGTCAGCGCGTCTTCTTTATATACACATATATCAATAAATACAGCGTTGAGATCAGTGTCTGAGATCAGTGTGAGACCATTTAGCTTAACTAGTTTCGACAGAATTATACACTAGCTATAAATACATGTAGGGGAGGGGAACCAAATGTAGGCTACACATACATGTACTTGACAACCTTTTGAAATTTCCATTAGTGAGATTCCACATGCTCAAAATTTAAAAACATAAAACAAAAATGAAAAAACTAGAAAAAAATAGCGTTATTATTTAAGTGGCATATTTTCAGTTGTTGTTTTCCACATGAAATCATCAGATATTAGTATACAGTTTAGTAAAACTGTAGTTTAATAAAACCTGTTGAAAATGTTCAATTTTAGAGTCAAAATCTGCAGTCCCCCTCAAAAGTAAGGAGAGTTTGCAAGTATGGCTACAGTGTTTTGTATAGTGCCCAGTTTTTAAGTAAGCATATGGCTATTGATGGTCCTTGTGCTGTGACCACGGTCTGTACCTCTCCCAAAAAAGCCTCCCTGCAGTCCTCTTTCTTGCCCTTTCATAATAATTCCTGACTAGAAGTAAATGACTTTTACTACTTTTGGAGAGTTTTTGAGGGTCCTCATTATGATCAATTTAATTTCGACAAATGTTGCATGTACACTGGTCGCACTTGATATTTTTTCTGTGAGCAGTGAAGTACAATAACATTTATGTTTGAATATACATGTAAAAAACTGTAAAAAAACCTGTGACCAGTAGTTGGGTACTTGTTAAGGGGTTTGAACCCAGGACCCTCAAACTTTAGATAGATGCTCTACCATGCCAATGGAGCTTTCTGGTTGTTGATGATGATCTACCCAATCTAGTTCTGCTACCTATATACACCTATGTTGGTTATGCTTTAATTTTCACTAATGAACTGCATATGTTTCATTAGTATTTCTTTGTATGGTAAATACATTTATGAAGTCCATGTAATTCCATACACTAGTATTTTCTGCTAAAATTGTCTTGCTCATATTAGGGAAGTGGATTCTTCTTTTATCAGATCTGCTCATGTCAATTTATTGAAGTTGAAATATTTTAGTTTCCAGTACATGACCTTTATAGGTCCTCTCCACTGGACTCGATTGTTGTATTGCACCGCTTTCAATCGGTGCTCTAAAATTATATACTATTTCCTGTTTTTTCCAGCATTTATCTAGCCTATTCTTAAATGAATTTAAAGATCGTGTGTGACCACCTCCGATGGTAAACAATTCCAAATGTTCACCACTCTGACTGTTAAATAGTTCTTTCTTTTAAAATAATAATGACTAAAGTAATAAAAGGGGTCGAGACATATATAGAAATCAACTGTAAATATTAATAGAGTTATGGCCCTTTGTTCACTGTAGGGCACTTTATCTGGGGCATACCTAAAATACCGTCAGTTGCAATCACAGGATTTTGTTTGCAAGTACCTCTTGGGATGGCTAAGTGTGGCGTGTTAAAATCTGGTCATGCGTCCTTATGTCCTTTGACCTATGTCCCCCAAGGCCTCTTATGTCTGTGCAAATAAGGATTTGATTAGCATTCAGTTAAAGGGGCTGGTTGGGGAAAAAATGTCATATTTGCTAAAATGGCATACACATGTTTAAAATACCTTCTTATGAAATATACCGATACAATTTTTGCTGAAATTCACTCCCTAAGAGTAAAAATTATAATTATATTAAAGAAATCCTAAATCGTCACCTGACAGTCTAAAACTCTCAATTGACCCAGATCAGTGATGTAATTTTACCGCACGCGCGTCATCTACAAGGCCAAATGTAAACATCACGGCGAAAGAAAAAGATGCATGCAAAAGTCATGACAGGCACGACGTATCAATACCGTTACAAATAACAACAACATATATATAGGTAGGAATACTACACTTGCATCATACATGACCTTTGAAAACAATTATTTTCGTATAGTACTGCTGTCTTGTCCGCTGGTTGAGTCCGACATGGCACATGACGGCGTGCTATTGTTGTTATCTTCACTGCCTCACTTTCGAAACAACCACGTGACATATATAAATAGATCTGCGCTAAATTTACGCGGGGCTTCCCCGAGATTTCAGTGGTCAAAACTGGACATTGCAAGCAGAACTCGACCATCATATTGCCGTGGCATAACTTTTGGAAGGCCAGAGAATGCATTTTGACCCATTTATTTTGCATTTTTCCCCCCGACCAGCCCCTTTAAACGTCATGTAATTGTAATAATTTTACAAAATAAAATATTTCAGATGAAGCCTTAGCATGGTCGTATCTTTGATGATGAAGGACGTCACTTACAGGAAACAAAGATCAAATATTCCCTCTTTGTGTATTGCAGAGTTATCTTCTCTTGTGAGCAGGAATTGATTGTTAGGACATTTGTTTGTGAGGGTAACGTCATCAATTTTTGAGAAACCGACGTAATTTTCTCACACAACCCAACGACGTAACAATCAATACCTGCTCACAAGAGAAGATAACTCTGCAATACGGAAAGACGGAATTGTCAAATTCAATCAATATTTTCCAATTTTTTTGTTTGTTCTATTTAAACGTTTCACAATCACATTAAAGATTTGATTATGTTAGTCATTAATTTGATTAAATAAGTATGTTTTTATTGTGAAAAAATATAACTCTAGCAGAATGTTTTTCTTAAAAAAGGAGTGAAAAATTATTTTGAAGTGTTTTGATAATCTCATCTCTGGTATGATTTCAAATTCGTTGAGTTTGTTAATTTAACATCATGACAAGAGGTGTCAAGGTCAAATAAATGGGTTGGGGTCACAGTTTGCAATCTGTCATCGATTGAATTAATGGATTTGATACACAAGGTCAATCTGAGATCACAGGTCAAAATAGATTTCATCGTATTTACAGTGTATTTATTTTTACACAAAGAAAAAAATAATGATAAGACAGGTAAATTGAACACAATAAGTACATATTAGATAAATATTGAGAAAGTCTTTTACTAAGCTAAAATATAAAATTTTGTTTTCTTATATAAAATGAATATTCATATACTTAAATAAATCAAAGTGTTAAGACATATAGGAAATTATCTATCATCTTTCATAATTTGGTACAGTACATTGACCTTGACATTTGAACTAGGGCTAATTATAGTCCATGGTAATTACAAGTGTAATGTATGATGTTTTTGTTAAAGAATATACAAAAGGATGTTCTCATATACATATATTTATGGTTTGGAATGTTTTCCAGAACATGTACATCAACACACAAAGACCATGTCCTTTGACCTTTGAACCCGAAAGTCTTCAGTCCTTGTCTTGGTTAAAATGTTTGTGATAAATATGGCTGACCATGCACAAAGTGGTATTTCGTCTTTGCGTATTGCAGAGTTATCTTCTCTTGGGAGCAGGTATTGATTGTTACATCACTTGTTTGTGGGAGTAACGTCATCAATTTTTGAGAAAACAACGTAATTTTCTCACACAAACCAATGACGTAACAATCAACACCTGCTCCCAAGATAAGATAACTCTGCAATACGCAAAGACGGAATAGTGTAGTGTCCATTGTCTGCAAGGATATTTAGCCAGTTGCTACCTGGGATAGATTTTCTTAAAAATAAAAATCACTCATGATGTTGACATACTTTCAAGGTCACAGGGGTGAAATATATCCTACTCAAAATCAATTTAACGTAAAACAATATTAAATTTAAGAAAATTATTTAGGCCTAGAGCCATGGTAATTCATAATTTATATATGTGAATTTACATTCCAGACCAGCCATGCACATGTTTTTTCTGACATGTGTGTATTGTGTGAATATCGAAAGTCGTCTTTCATTGTAAGCTGTGTTTTCAACTTATGCTATTATTGGTAAAAGTCCTTCAAAATCTTCTTACCTTTCATAATGTTTCTAGTTTCATGATATATGGCGAGTGACTTACTGGGATGGAGTACTATAAAGTTGCCGTAGATAAATGATATTGATCTGCTTTCAAGGTCACAAGGGTTGAATATAAAGTAAATTGAAGGGGTATTATATTACATGTCTATTAAAAGTTGTGAGGTCTATAGCCATGACCTTTAAGTATGTTCTGAAAACAAGTCATGTACATCTTGTTTTCTTTATATGTGTTAAGGTTAAAATTCAGCTTTTAGAGCTACAAAGATCGTTGACCTTGACCTTCTTACCATGTCAAACTCGACCGCATTGGTTTTCTTCAGGTACTCTGGATTCCTCCTACATTAGGACCCCCTGCACGCTTCACCCGGGCCAACGAGAATTATTAATAAGAGTTTGATAAAATCAAAAGTTGTTGTAAAATAAATAAAGTAAATAGAGTTGAGATAATGCATACAAACTAAAATGATTAACGCTATATTAATATTCAAAATCTTAAGATTATTTCAACTATCACTATGATGTGTATTTGATGTGTGTCGTTATAATTAAATAAGGCGAGGGGGTTCATAGTTTTGCTATTGCCCTATCCCTTTTTAGGTCACCTGAGCTTTAGCTCAAGTGACGCATTGCTTTCCGTCTTTGTGCGTCGTCCGTTAACATTTTACATTTTAAACTTAATCTGAAATACTGTCGCAGGGATTTCATTGATACTTCATGGGAATGTTACTGACAACTCCCTGACCAAGTGTTGTTATTTTTTGGGTCGATCAGAAATCCAATATGGCCGCAACGGCCGCCATTTTGAAAAACTATTTCAAAATTAAAGTCAAGTTCAACTGGGCCGATTTAACTGAAACTTGGTAGGAATGATCAACTTATGTTCCTGACAAAGTGTTGTTATTTTTTGGGTCAATCAGAAATCCAATATGGCTGCGACGGCCGCCATTTAAAAAAACTATTTCAAACTTAAAGTCATGTTCTACTGGGCTGATTTGACTGAAACTTGGTAGGAATGATAAACTCATGGTCCTGACAAAGTGTTACTATTTTTCAGGTCGATCAGAAATCCAATATGGCCGTCACGGCCGCCATTTTGAAAAAACTATTTCAAACTTACAGTCAAATTCTACTCGACCCATTTAACTGAAACTTGGTAGGGATGATCTACTCATGGTCCTGGCAAAATGTTTTTTTTTCATGTCCATCAAAAATCCAGTACCGCCACCATGGTTGCCATTTAAAAAAACAAAAATAAAACTAAAAATCAAGTTCTTATAGGCCGTATAAACTGAAACTCGGTCTAGGAATGATCAACTCATTGTTCTGACAAACTTAACTTGAAGATATACTTAATTATTTTTTACTCAAATTTTGGTAGGGATGATTGACATCATTATCTCCACTTCTTATTTCAACAACAAAAATGAATACTGTAGAACTGGGCCTCTTGTTGTATGTATTATAGTACCTATCAAATCAATTAAATTGAAATGAAAGACGGGGATGTTAAATATGTTAAAACTCTACCTCAGTAGTTCTCTCACAAGAAGAACAGGATCTTTGTATTGTCCAACAAGCATCGCAGGTCAGAAAGTTACCTTAAATAAATAACGCTTACAAACTTCTAACATTTAATTTGTTATTTTAATACTTTCAGGTAATGCGTGCCTAATGAAAGATGGAGAAGTTGATATCTAAAGCGGTGATCTATGATCCGAACAAGGATGACCGACCACCATACGAGGTTAGCCTCCAAATCGACGACAGGCTAGATGTTGAAGCGTTCCATCACAGACCTTCCCGGAAGCCGCCATTGGAGGGTGAAGAACTGGATGCGTCAGAAGACAGGATTTATAAGTTACATATGTACCATGAGACAGATTTTGTTCTGCTTATGTACGGTTTTATGAATGACAATAAGATAGATCTTAACACAATAACGGAGACAGATTTGGATTCAAAAGTTGATAACGTGACCTGGTACGACTTCAAGTCCATGTGCATCTACTCGGGTGTAAAGAAGCACCAATTTACCCGTGGAGGAATCAAGGAAGCAGCCGAGAGGTTAACTAGCCACTATGCGGATCAAGATATAGGACCGTTCACCGTGAAGAATCCAGATAACACCTACCGAGTGCTGGATCCAGAATATTTGGAATTCAGCATGCTTTATTACTATGGTCGCCACAACATGTGTATGCTTGTACGAGTCGTTCCGTGGCAGGCTATGTTTCAGCACGTCTTTCCGGGTGATATGGAACCAATGTATCTACCCGAAATATGCCAAGGCAGAAAGTATGATGAGATGTCATTGGAAACAAGAGATTGTATGCTGGCATCTAAACGGATGCTGCAGGATATTCTAAATGGTTTTGTTAATGATTTGGCGACATCCCCCTTCTTCTACAGTCATACAATGAAAAACCAGTTCTTCAAGTTCATCCAAAAAGAGGGAGACCTAAATGAAGTATTCGTAGCTGTTGACAAATTTTCAAAACCAGGACGGCCGAAAACTTTCTTATACTGTCTTGTTGCAAATGCGAAACCAAATCTGGATTTCCTAGACCAGGTGTTGACACGTTTCTTGAAAAGCAAACTGTCAGAAAAAGAGAAGAATCTACAGATAATAGCGTCCTGTGCTGCAGCCTGTCGTTGGGGCCATGTCCTTATCTATGAGAAACTCAGTAGACTGATAAAAAAGCCAACATTTGAGATGCTGAGGAAAACAGTTGTGGGAGGAAATGTGGATATTATGCGTAGCATAGTCCGTGACTACAACTGGAGCGAAAAGGAGTCCAGGTCAGCAATGGAATGGGCATGCTTCCTAGGTTTGGATAGTATGGTGAGGGTGCTACAGGACCAGGGTATCCGCTTTTCAGACAGATGTCTCTACGTCACGGCTTTCGGAGGCAATATGGGCTTGTTCTTTGAAATCTGCAGCGAAGGCGTTGATTTTGAGACAAAATTCAAAGACGGTCAGACAGTTCTTCACATCGCTGCTGAAAAAGGCCACTTTAGCATTGTGGAGTTCTTAGTTCATAGGGGAGGTGTGGATGTCAACACCGAAAACTCTGACCGTGCGACTGCGTTGGATCTTGCATTAAGAAATGGTCATTTGGAAGTGGCGGATACGTTGTTGGATGGGGGAGCTAATGCAGATCATCAAGATGCCCGTGGATCAACTCCATTACACAAAGCGTGTGCCTCGGGTAACATGCAGCTTGTGGAGAGGATACTGTCCACTGGATGTAGCGTGGATCTACTGGACAACACTGGGAGGTCTGTTCTACATAAAGCGGCATATGGTGGTAGTTTGGATGTAATACAACGTATCCGCCAACTTGGAAACAAGGTGGATTTGCTGGATAAATATGGAAGCTCGGTGGTGCACTATGCTTCTATTCAAGGACATTTGCATGCTGTCGAACATTTTGTCAACGACTTCCCGGCTCTGATCGCTCAAGGAAATGCAAATAGATGGAATCCAATTGCCTGTGCTGCGTTTGGGGGACATTTTCCCGTGTTAGACTTCTTGAAAAGAAACCATGCAGGCATTCTGGTGGTGACATCTCAGGGAAAGAATGCGAAACAGCTGGCAGAGGAGGGCTTGGCCTTCAGAGAGTCAAACGAAAAATATTACATGAAAGAGTTTGAAGAGTATGTATCTTTTGGAAGCGTTGAACGTTTTAATCAAGTGATCGAAGCACTTAGTGATGTTACGCGTCAGATAGAGTCTGATGACTATTAATACCAATTTGTGTCATACAATATTTCGACATAAACTCGATAAACACTGGAAAAGTGGATATTTTAGCATTGTGGAAATCGTGAATAGTACATATATGAATTATATAGGTTATAGATATAAAGAATATATTGATTTCGGAACCATTGCTGACTTGAACATTTCCACACCACGATCAATTTAAAGAGGTTATCACGCCAAAAAATCTACTTTTACAGTATGTGAACATGCTAATCAGACAATCTGAGAGTTTAAAAGTCATATGAATTATTACAACTATTTATAAGATCATTACTGTATTCATTTATGGAAGGAAGACCATGTTCTTAATGGATTTCAATGGCTATTTTACCTGTAAATTTGCTTTTCGCAGAAGCTTTTGATCCAATAATGCTTTATCCTTGTCAGTCACTGATTGTTGAATATTTTTGGAATGTTGACACGTGACCGTGACTAGTCGGGTCACGTGCCTATAGGGCTTCCAGGGGAGGGCTGGTAGCACCTCTGGTCGGGTCAACGTGCCAATAGGGCTTCCAGGGGAGGGCTGGTAGCACCTCTGGTCGGGTCGACATGCCAATAGGGCTTCCAGGGGAGGGCTGGTAGCACCTCTGGTCGTGTCAACATGCCAATAGGGCTTCCAGGGGAGGGCTGGTAGCGCCTCTGGTCGGGTCAACATGCCAATAGGGCTTCCAGGGGAGGGCTGGTAGCACCTCTGGTTGGGTCAACGTGCCAATAGGGCTTCCAGAGGAGGGCTGGTAGCACCTCTCTCTGCCACAGTTGAGATCGGAGGCTGGTCTTATAATGCCAATTGTTAGCCGTCGTCTTGGTCCAATATCTTTACTTACCGAATCATTGGACTGTTAAAACCATGTTTATCTTTTTCTCTGTTTGAATACCTCTTTTTTTCGGGTTGATTGTGAGAAAATTCTCTGGACGTTTATAATCAAACTGATATAGAATATTGAAAGCATGACAAAGTTCAGTAAATTTTACCAACATGCTGACATGTAAAATGAACAGTCATTTTAAAGAGAAAAAAAACGTGACATTTTATGCCACCATAACTACAGAATATACAAAGGTGTAAATATATGAAAAGACATTTGTAACATTTCCATTTACAGTAAAACTAATAATATATACATTTCTTACTTATAAGTCCCCTACCGGTGAAACCAACCGGGGGTGGGGTGGGGTGGGGTGGACTATAGTTTTCCTCACCGTCCGTCTGTCTGTGTACGTCCGTAACACCAATATTTGTCAGCGCTCTAGCGGCTTCATTCCTTGAGGGATTTTTATCAAACTTCACAAAAATACAAAGGACCATAATATCTCGGACAAGTTCGAATTTCAGGGTTGTTAGGTCAAGGTCAAGGTCACCATTACTTTTTTTAGAAAATCCTTGTCAGCGCTCAGCGGCTTCATTCCTTTAGGGATTTTGATAAAACTTCATAAAATTACAAAGGACCATAATATCTCAGACAAGTTCGAGTTTCGAGGTTGTCGGGTCAAGGTCACCGTGACTATTTTTTAGAAAATTCTTTGTCAGCGCTCTAGTGGTTTCATTCCTTGAGGGATTTTGATCAAACTTCACACAATTACAAAGGACCATAAAAACTTGGGACAAGTTTGAGTTTCAGGGTTGTAGAGCTGAGGTTAAGGCCACCGTTACTATCAATACAAAATCCTGGAGAAGTTGAAGCCAGTGATGGACGGATGATCGCTATATAATAATCAAACATCGATCAATTTGTCCTGTTTGATTCCGATTATCGATAACAAATTCCATAATCAATATTATCGTCGTCCGTCCGTCAACTTTTCCTTTAAATCGCTACTTGTCCTGAATAGCCTAGTAGATTTGGTCTGAATTTGGTGGGTGTGGCCTCCCTGGGGGCAGAGACGTGGAGCCAAATAGGGGAAATAGAGGTAAAACCTTTAAAATCCTTTTTCTACCATGGGGATTAAGAGATTTCATCCCAATTTGGTCTGGAGCATTGTGAGGCCAAGGAGACTACATTTTGTAAAACAGTGGGTGTGCCCCCCTGGGGGTAGAGGGATGGGGCCAATAGGGGAAATAGAGGTAAAACCTTTAAAATCCTTCTTCTACCATTGGGATTAAGGGATTTTATCCTAATTTTGTCTGGAGCATCTTTGGGTCAAGGGAACTCAATAATGTGTAAACGGTGGGTGTGGCCGCCCTGGGGGCAGAGTTGCGGGGCCTAATAGGGAAAATAGAGGTAAAAAAACTTTGAAATCCTTCATCTATTGAGGGATAAAGGGATTTTATCCTAATTTGGTCTGGAGCATCCTTAGACCAAGGGGACTTACTTTTGTATAAACGGTGTGTTTGGACCCCTGGGGGCTGAGAGTTGTGGGGCCCAATAGGGAAATCAGAGGTTTAAATCTTTAAAATATTTTTTCTTCTGTACCATTGGTGGGATTTAATGTAATAAGAATAATTTCCCATGATTGCTTTATTATCCCGGTGAGCGATACAGGCCCTATTGGCCTCTTGTTATAAATCACTACAGTATAATAGGTAGCGGGGGCCGGTAGGGGAAATGTATTGCTTCAGCAATACTCATTATGCTTGTTTATCATATCTCCATCTGTTGATGATTTGAAAGTTGCAACATACAATGGTACCGTGTTTCAGTTTACTGAGTATTACTAACAATAAGATAACCTAGAATTTTGATAGGATCAGTCTTAAGTGAGAATGATTTGCAGAGAAGAAAAATGCTGTTTACAAAAGCATGTTGAATTTTATTGGGTATAATTTAATTTCTCGTAATCTATATTTTCAAACTGTATAAATAGTGTATGCAAGTATTTAAGAATTACCAATTCCTATCTATGATTTGTAGGGACTCGTGGTTCACATTTGCTTTGTTTTAACTTTTTATTAAAATGTAATAAATTGAAATTATTTTGCAGTTTCTTTGTTGAGCATCAGTTTCTCTAATTTCTTTGATTAAAAATTCTTGATTTTAGAAAAATTGTTTCCAAAACGTGTCGGTTTGTTTCACATTCATTGCATTTAGTTAAAAGGCACCAAATAGTTCAACTATATTATTGCCATTGACACTAATGTGTAATATTAGTTAGATTATTATTCAAAGAAGTATTCCATAAACAGCACATGTTGCACTGCTTTTAACAGAATTATAATTGTTTGAAATTCGAATGTTTAAATGAAAAAAGAAAAACTTTGAGGGTCGAACTCGGGACGTTTACATTGTGAAAACTACACTTTATCAACTTTGTCATTCAGGAGTTATAAATGAGCAACAACAAAATACTAAAAGAGTCATATTCATGGTCACAAACTCTAAGAAAGGAACATTGAGAGATAAACTACTTGACTGGGAGGATACTGTAAGCCAGAAAAAAACTTAATCTTCTGTAGATAAGGGACATTACTCCAAATCATAAAAACGGATTTGAAATTTTCTTTGCTATTTTCAATATAGCAGGAGTTCCATTTACCTTAACGAGCAATGTTCATAGAAATTGATTTCTTTGCGTGACCAATGCATATGTATTTTGTACATCTCGCAATAGTTGATTAGATATGACCAAATTTTGGTTTATGAACGAGAGTATATAAGATTTATTAAATTGGAATTCATTTTGATACGAAACTCATATCATAACTTTCCTAACATTACGACAATTTCTTTGAATATTTGAAACAACCTTCAGCAAAAGCAGATCCAAATTTCCGAACGTTCATTAACTTGAAAGCAATTCCTCAAGTGTTTTTTTTCCGCATAAACAAGTTATTTATGTTAAGAAATTTTCTTCATTAATTGTTTTCGAAAAGAATAAATACTATATTGCCAAGGAAAAGTGTTTAACTCAAATAATGCTTCCTTCCTAAGGAAAACAAAGAAACAAAAATGGGAAACGTGGGCTACATTTAGGAGGGTTGTCAAGTACGTGTACTGGTACATGTAGGTTGTTTTAGTAAATTTGGAAAAAGTACATGGTTCTCAGAAGCAAAATATAAATATTTGTTATTTTTTTTTTTTTTTTTTTTTTTTTGTCTCTGTCAGTAACATCCCTTGCTCTTACCGGTATTTCTTGATAAATGTTAACGAAACTTCACAGGTATCTTTTGCCTTGGACTTTGTTAAACTAGTTCAAAAATGGTCATGATTAGTCAATCGTAAAACATTGCTCTTGACAGATGTTAACGAAACTGGCGTAATCAGTGAAAGGTCAATGTCATTATGTAAAATTGGAATTTCACTGTAACGTCAAACATTTATTTAGCGGCCGTACCTCTTGACAAATTAGGGTAATTTCACTAGCGTGTTTAGGTCGGACATTCATATGACAAGAAGGAACATAAGCGTGATTGGTCAAAGTTCAAGGACAATGTTATCTAACATAAACTGTTCATCTTGAAAGCAGCACAAGTAATCCACTTTTGGCGGCCATTTTACTAGATGCAAGAGCCTAACACTCGCTTTCAAATTATGACATTTTAGATGGGCAACGATAGATAATATGCTTCAATCAGGCCTTATAGACATTTAATGACTGTGCATCGCAAAGGTTTTTTTGCTATCTTTTAGTTACATGCAAAATTCAATGGACATTCTTCGAAATAAGTATCCTCCTTAACGGTTGAAATGGGATACACTGAAAAACGAAGGACAGGGTCCGAGAGGGCCGATTCACATAATGTTGCTCAGTGGAAGGGGGAACAATCGCGTATCTTCAAATCGTTTATAACAAATATAAGTTCTTTGACGCTATACACGAATGAAGAAACTGCATCGTGAATCATTATGCACCTGGAAGTTGCAATCCAGTTGAGAGCATTCACATAACTATGCAAACGGTGGACACATGAGCTTTGGTTAGAGATTGCTCTTGAAAGCGGAAAGAACTTCAAGAGTTTACGTGCCTATGAAATCGCTAACAACACGTTTTGAATCGAACGGTGTATGGCTCCACTATATGCTTTATTCGCTGCATTCAATTGTGCCCTAGTGTCATTTGGAAGAGCTTGGGGGAAATCAGCAACCATTTTATCAGATGAACTCTGCTTACTGTGTCTATCGGTTTTACCAACGCATGTAGAACTCTTGATGCAGTTTCTTG